AATTGGTGCTGACTCACCCGTGGAGTGGACAGTGGAGTTGGTGACTCCTCAGCTGAAGACAACACCCACAATTATTGCATTATATTCGTTAAATAGGTGCCACCGATAGGCATATTCAATTACAAAACCGAATTGGATGGCTGGCAAGGCGTTGTACATACTACTCACCTAACTGGGATGATTCAGGTAGACTTACAGAACTGTGACTGTGATCTCACGGTGGGTTGTTGACGAGTGGGAGTTCCATTGTTGTTAGTCCTCTGCAGATAGTTCTGTCCACCACCACTACCACTAGTCTGTGAGAGCGGATGATGCTGTTGTTGTTGAAGTTGGTGATGTGAATGAGAGTGCTGCTTGCTCAGGTCCAATGGACGTCGCATATCTGATAGCACGTTTCCGCTACCCGTCTGCACAATTCAGAAAAACCCAGTGAGAAAAGAAGTGAGACTGATGTACAGAGGACATAAAAGCTGACCCTAGACTCCACACTTGTTCGAACAGGTGGAAATTTGGGTGTCATGATATTCTGATGGCGTGATGGTGGAGCATCGGCACCATTGTTATTCGTGCTACCAACGAAGAATTGTTTGGCTGAACGAAGTTGTTGCTGTTGTTGCATGGGGAAATGGTGTGCTGTGTCCTCAAATTTCTCCTCATTCGACGCTGACAGAGGCTGTTGCTGTTGTTGCTGCTGTTTTGCGTTAGCAGTGGCTACGGTGACACCGAGTTTGGGGCCCCGGGAGAACTGTGAGGAGGTAGAGGATTGCTGCTGTTGAGGTTGGTACGCTGTATGCTGTTGTTGTGGGTAGTGGTGCTGCTGCTGCTGCTGTGGTGACGTCACTTGTCGCACAGCGCCTGAACCTGGATGTCGTTCGCGCTCCTTGATCAAAAAAGACGTTTATGAAAACACTTGACGCCTACCTCCAAGTGTGTGAATTTAACTGAAGCCAAGTGGAATTTCACACGACTCGGGAGAGCTCTGACAGGTACTTGTTTTTAAGAGGATTTTATTTAATGCATGAATATTAACAACAAACTACTGGTGGTGTGTGGGAATAGGATGGATCGGTGAGAGGCGCTTAGTTCAATTATTATTTAACCAAGCGAGGCTCTCCATCTACACAGTTACTGCTTCAATGTATTACGATCCTGAAATTCAAACCAATACTTATGGACTTCCGACCGCATTACATCACTGAGTGCTTTTTAAATATAAACGGACGACCCAAGGCACTACATTTAAGATGGCGGCAAGAGGACCCGATGGCAATGGACAAGGAGGCGAACTGAATTTCGGAAGGATTACAACATAGGAGGTACGCCAGTTCTCCGATATGATGACCGCAAGCCACACCGACCTGAAAACGACCTCATTGTTTACAGTAGGAGGCTTAAAGGTTAAAGTGATGCTTACCCCCACACACCCCTTAAGATGCAAGATAGAGAGCCGAAGGACTCCGGTAGAGGACTGCAGTAAACACCCTATTTTTGTACCCTCAAAGCAGAATTAGTTTTAATGTTATAGGACTGGAAAGAGACTGCTAATACGATGAAACGATGTGTAGTAGGTGCCAGGTATTTCCCTTCTTTCGTACCACCGGGCCAACGTAGACACCACATCCACAATCAACACCACGCAACAGTGCTGGTGCAGTCCT